AAGGAGAGTTACCAGAAGTGGCTTTGTCTTATAAATAAAGCCATATGAAGGCTGGTGAATAACATGGAGTCCTTAGCTTTTTAAAATTGAATTTAACCTGTTATGTGTCTACTAGTCAAGAGATTGAAAGTTTTTAAATTATGTAAACTAGTTGCCAAGGTGTCAGGTGCCTTGAGAGTTACAGATGTCCAGGACCCACTTCCCATTGTCTAAGAACTAAAAAAAAATGAAAAAATATAGACAGCACAACTACAGGAACAGTGGATTAGATCTGGTGTGCCCTATTGCTAAACAGACACGCATCCATGGACTCTTATAAACTTCCATTTCCTACATGAAAAATAAGGGATTGAGCTAAATTACTAATCCTTAAATCTGACTACACATGAGAATTTTCTGGTAAGATTGCAAAAATTCCTCATCCCTGAAGATTATAATTTAGTAGGCGTGAGTAAGATCCAGAAATACATACCTTAAACAACCACTCTGGGGAATTCATCAGTGTAGACATACTAAGATGTGTCCTAGTAAAACAGCTATGGGATTATGCAAACATTAATATCCCTTCATGTTCTTTAGATGAATTGTTTTGTGATTTTAAAGACTCCATGAGCTCAACATGTAGGGAGGGTGGGGGAGCAAGAGACACCAAGAGTTGGAAATAAAAGGGAATGTACTGGTGTCCCAGAGAAGCCATACAGGATAAAAAAAAGAGTGCTTTAAAACAACCAAGATTAATTGTCTCACATTTCTGTGGACTAGAAGTCTGAAACCAAGGAATTGTTTGGGCCAGGCTTTCTCTGACAATGTTAGGAGAGAATTCTAGGTTCTTCTTGGTTCTGGTGTTTACTAGTAACTCGGCCTTCCCTGGGTTGGAGTATACCACATCTTCTCCTGTGTCTTCACACTGCCTTCCTTCTGTATGTCTATGTTGCTTTGTTTGTACAGGACATCAATCCTATTGTATTAAAGTCTCTCCTACCCCATGCCACATTTAAATTTGATTTCTTCCAAATACGGGCACATTCTGAGGTACTGATAGTTACATCTTAAGCATATCTTTTTGGAGGAACACAATTCATACAGAATTAGAGATCTTTCATGGGCAAGTTATAAGTTGAAATATAGGTGCTGTTTACCTTAGATAGACAGAAAAAACATAGCTTTATAGGTGATAAGAATGATCTGTGAAGATGATATCATCTTATGTGTCCAGGTGAAAAACTGCAGAGTTGGGATAGTATTGGTGGCTCAAATAGTAATGTGTTCAGTACTAACCCCTAAGAGAACTTATCCCATGCTTCTCCACCTGCCACAGCCCATATTTTTATACTACTATTCTGAGTTGTGCAGAGGAATAAAATAATGAAGCAGAGGAGTTAGTATAACTCACCATTCCTGAAATGAGAAGGTAGAGAATTAGCTTCATCTAGCCCCAGACTTTTGCTCTTTACAATGATGGTCCATTGCCTTCTTCACATCACTAATGCTAAATGAATTTGGGTGTATAGATCAGGGATCCTTTAAGGAGGGTTTTGATAATAAGGAAGTGGAGTCTGTGTTTGATATTATAGAAAATAAGGAGCCACTTGTAGTGTCTGAACAGGAGTGACATGACGAAGGTGAAGATGGTATTTTAGGAAGATAAGTGTCATTTCAACCCAAGGATGCAATTCCTTTAGAAGAGAAAGCAGACTTAAAAGGAACCATGAAGAGGTTCTTTTCATCAGGTTTTATCAATTGTTTGCTTCTTCTCCACTGGTGTATCTCTAAGAATCCTGTAGCAATTTGAGCTGCTTTTTTAACCTTTCAATATTCTGTGTAAGTTCTTCATACTAGTGGCAAAGCATTGATCAATTCATACCCAGAGCACAATGCTATTGGGTGGAACCTTCCCTTGATTCTTTAAAAATTCTTCTTTCAGTTCAGTGGTTTTGCAGCTCATTTCCTTGTTTTAAGCAGCACCGAGAGGAGCCTCGTTGTGCTAATTCAAAGTTTCCCTTCCTGTGTGGATAGTGGTCATCTTTCACTCTGGTTTTAATTCTAGTACAGGAAAAAGTATGCCAAGAGAATGGTGGAAATAATGACAGTGGAAGCCAAAATTCATAGAGCACTTTAATATATTAAATTACTTTTCACAAGCCTTCAATGATGATCACTGAAGTCATTGTAGCTTCTCTATAATTCTATACTTGATCTAGGAACATATGGCAGTAGAATCAAGCCTCATTGGTTTTTGTAGGATGACTTGAGTGTAAATCCCCTCCTTCTGGTAGTAGGAATCTGGATAAGTAGAGACCATATGCCTCCCCCAAGTCTTAAGCCATCCAACTCCTTCCTTACAGATCACCTGGCAAAAATAGATTAAGTTATACATGCCTTCATACACCTCTGTGTCCCTGCAGAAACCATAATAAGTTCTTCATTTGGATGACTTTCACGTTTATGTACTTGCATTTTATCCTATGACTGTAATCCTCCAAAATGCTGCTTCTTTTGGATGTCCTTTTGAATGATCAAAAGGATATCTTTTTTGGATGTTATCACAGGTTGGCCTCTGAAAATTTCAGTTTGGTCACAAAAGAGCGTATTTGGATGGCAGAATTAAGAGGTGCATGGACTTTAGTTGCAGAGAAGAACAAGAGGCCAAGAGAACCCTGGGTCTTCTTGTTTCTTTGATTTGGAGATGTACCACACAATCCCTGGACACCTGAGGTCCTACCGATCACTGCTGTGACACTGGAGCTCTATCCAGAAACAGCTGTCCAGAGCTAATTTATCTCCTAATGCTGTGACACTGTTAATTTATAAATTACACTGGTAATTCAAGCTATTATTAATTTCAGATGGTGTAGGGCAAGCCTAATTAAAATATGACACCAATTGCCACACATATGTACCAAGGACTACCATTTAAAATTAATGGGAATATTAAGTGTGACACTGGTCTCTGAGATGCTTTGCACAGTAATTATAGCATTCCAGCGTGGCAAGATCTGACAAATGCAGTCCTGGGGTTGGTAGCAAATAAACAACGGCAACATAAGAGGAATCCACAAATTCTTCACTGAAACCTTTGCTCATTTCTTTCATCCTTTCTCAAACCAAGGTTGGCATTTTCCCCTGAAGATGTGTATTAAACAATATTAATAAAGGCTACTAAGAAAATCAAAATTTCTCACAGTTCAGAACTATGAGTCTTGGTGGGCTCATGTTGATGGTCTCCTCCAAATGCTTGACTTTTTGGGCCTGTTTTCTACTAGTTGACATGTGAGTGCTTCCTGTGAATTTAATGTCTCTTATTTGCTTGTTGTAATAGGTATGGGCTAAATTTTTTCTCCCCTATAAGAAACAGAGGAAAAGTTTCTATACTATATAGTGAATGCAGGTTCCATACAGCCTAAAGGAAATGTGAGGAAATGCTCTGGTTGAGTTTATTACTGGATGGTGGCATAGACTTACCATGACCAAAGAGTGGCAGAAGAGTGGACAGTAATGCCCATTCTTTATAGGACAGTGTTTTATTGCTATTATTATTATTATTATCTTGACAAAAGTGATCTTAGCACTGTCATGGAACCAGTACAACTAACACATACATATTTCATTCTTTCTGTCTTATTAGTTTGGTATAATTATCAGTTTCATGCTTGGGGTCATCAGGAAGATGTGGCGTTATGGAAGAGTTTTATGACCTGGAGAGAAATGTCTCTTTGTTCTCTTTCTGGCACTATCCACATGAATGTAGCTTTATTCCACCTTCCCCAGCATCTCCAGGAAGTTTTTAAGATGAATAAATACATCAGCAAGTGTTTGGCACATGAGAATTTTCAAAATTCCTCATGTATATCAAATATTTTTTGTTTGTTGCTCTAAATAACCATGTGAGGTATTGGGACTGTTATGTATATTGTGCCTGGCACAGTGTTCTCAGTTGCTAGAAACAGTTTCAAGTTATTGTCCCAGAATTATTCATAGTACCCTCTCTTACTTTTACTAATATCCTGCTATAAAAATATTGTCATCCTAATTATCTTCATTTCACAGATTAGGGAGGATAATCCCAGAATGCAAGCAGTTAGTTTTGTTCTTTATTTTCTTCTGCCAAGGAAGCTAAGGCTCAGGTAGTTCTGAAAGAAACTTGAAACTTGTCTTCTAGGTTAAATGTTTCAGTCTTTCTATAACTGGATGTTTATGGCTAGACTTCAGGTATAGACTCCAGAAGGTAGAGGGTCTTATGATTATTCAAATTTTTTTTACTGAAGAAATTGAGTCTCATGATGATTAAGTGATGGAGTAAAATTTGCATCCAAATTTTCTTATTCTTTACTTTCTGTCCTGCTTGTGTTCAGCATAAAGTGTGGGTCCCATTGTTGATTTGTTGTCTTTAGGATCCTGTAGCTAAGAGCTCCAGCAAATCACAGTTTAGAAAATTGATTTCTGCCCATCCAGTTGATTGTCTAACCTGAAAACAAAGCTACATTTATTACATTAGTGCTTCTATTGCCATTGTGGCTCCACTAAGTAAGTGTGTGTGTGTGTGTGTGTGTGTGTGTGTGCATCACTGCTAGTGCGTCACTTTTGATTGATTCACACTGAGGGATGCAGTCAACAGCTCTACATTCAAGGCACTCTCTAAATGAAACCTTGAGACCAGAGTGAAGATGCCATCTCAGATCTCAGAGCTTGAACACCTGGTGAGATGCCGTGCAAATATCAAAATTGTTAATCACTTATCGAGAACCAGTTAATCCTCTCAACACCATGCTTAGCTCAGTTAAGAAGATAAACGTTGCAGTGGGTCCATGGGGAAGCCAAGGAAGCCTTGGTAGTGAAAGGAGGAGGAGAGGTAGGAAAGGAGAATCTTCCTAGTTTCTAAGAATTTGAACTTGCAAGTGGCACAGTTCTCTGCAGATGTAACCATTTTACACTTCGCTTTTTTAATGTATACCTTTTGGCTTCTTTCTCCTATTTCACTACACATACTTCTTCTCTTGCAGCTGTTGGCTTTGTGAGTGAAGATGAATACTTGGAAATCCAGGGCATAACCCGGGAGCAGTCGGGGGACTATGAATGCAGTGCCTCCAATGATGTGGCCGCACCAGTGGTACGGAGAGTAAAGGTCACCGTGAACTGTAAGTGGTCGTGCCAGCTCCCCGCCCTGTCACCGTCACGACCAGCAGACCAACTTGCTGACTCAGGATAGAGCATAATGCAGCATCATTTTCTGCGTTCTGCTTTCAAGGGCAACCAGTCCATCATGATCAAGTTTTTGATACCTTAAGTTGTTACAGTGTCACATATCTTTAAAATGTAGCAGAAAGCTGTTGTGGTGGCACACATCTGTAATTCCAGTACTTGGGAGGCCAAAGCAGGAGGATCAAAAGTTCAAGGCCAGCCTGTGCTATGTAGCAAATTCAAGGCCATAAATCCAGACCCTTTTTCCAATAGAAAAAAAAAAAAAAAAACAAGCAAAAGAAGGAACTGAAAGGAATTTACTATAATACCAAAGGACATATGTAGCTGGGAGATCAATAAATGATTTTTAGCACAAAATTTTTATAAATGCATCTTCAAATCCAAAGTTTTCCCCATAATTTACTCACACAATGTAAGGAGAACCTTCTATTCCCCAGACCAGATATCTCCATAGTGGGACAAAAACTGTGTGCTAGAAGCTATAAAGGAAATACTAATATGTCTATGTGCAGTATGGTCAAGGTATCTCATCCTTTCATAGTTACAGATGATGATATGCATGGGATACATACATAATTTAAATACAAATAGATGCACATACTGATATGAGAAGATGTATCTCAAAATTTGGTTTTTACTAATGGATATGGAATCCCAGGAGTTTAGTAACTGACCTGGATCCTTCCTTCTTTTCTATCAACTATCCAGTTCTCTCTGACATTGACTCTACTCCAGTTCATACCCGTCTCTCCCGTTCACCCTCCGGCTGACTCCTTCCAAACATTTACTGTTTCCCCACAACATTGTCAAGGTTTTCTCTGCTATTCACTTTCCAGGACGTCTTATGACAGCAATAGGAATCCAGTCTCCTTCAGCACTTGCTCAGGGTGGGAATAGGAAAAGCTGTTCTGCATAGATGGATGCTCATTGTTTAGTACTTTGGTTTCTGTTCAATTTGAATCTAGGTAATGTGAAGCACTTCAAGAGACAAATAAATAGGATATCAATGCTACCATATTTTTACTCTATCACATTTTTTTCAACCTATCACAATTTTAAAGGTGCTTGAGGTGACTTGTAGTTTATCAGAATGAACCTAAAATGTAAAAGAAAAATAAAAGCAAAAGAAAGACAAGTAAGAGCTTAAAAGGGTGAAAATCAGCACATGAAATATATACCACCAGGTTGTCAGGTTCCTATCCTTAATTTGGCTTTACATTGCTAAAGCAAAGAGAGATATCATTTGCTTTAAGACTTATGTTGTCCACAAGGGAAAAGGAATTTTTCTTGGGAGAAATATTGCTTTTCCAGGGACAAAGACCCTAAAGGAAATTATCTTCAGGGTCTCCACAAATGGAGCTCTTTGAGACACAGTCAACAACATTGTGTATGATTTCCCTGCAATGACCAGCAAGTTTACTGTGTCTGTTTTTTAATACCTCTCAGTGCAATCTGTTGGAAGGCCAAGAGCAGTTAGGTGAAGCCTTCAAACAAATGCTCACCAATTTTGTCTTGGCTTGATTTGGGGATCCATTTTAGAATACCTACAAGAATGACTGATCTGTATACCCTTTAGGCACTTCTCTGTGAATATTTGTTCTTGTAACTGAGCTTTTGATTGGACTTGAATAGTTTGAGGTTATATACATTGGCAAGAACCTGGCATGCAGAAATTCTATCAGGCTGATTAAAGGTGCTGACTGTCAACACCATGGGGTGTAGGACTGATGGGTTGTCACCATCCTGTGAAAGTTAAAAAGCTTAAACAAGAAATATGTCTGAATAGCTGGTCATTCCACCTTGGCACAAAGGAGATCAGAAGCAACACATGCTAGGCAGATGATGTTTTCCTTAGAATAGCATTGAAAATGTTTTCATTCTCTGGCATAATTTGCATAGCTGACACAACAAGTAAACAGAAGTAGGGCAGAGAGTAAGAAACAAAATCCGTGAATGAGGAAGCCTTTCTCATTTTAAAATGCAATTTTAAACACTTGGAACATCTTTCTGCAGATCCACCATATATTTCAGAGGCTAAGGGTACAGGTGTCCCCGTGGGACAGAAGGGGACATTGCAGTGTGAAGCCTCAGCAGTTCCCTCAGCAGAATTCCAGTGGTACAAGGATGACAAAAGGTAAGATCCCCTCTTCTCTTTTCCTTTCCTCATGCCCACCCAAGAAGAAGAAAGCTTTCTTTTTTAGGGTCCTGATTGCAGCCGGCTGCAAACGAATTTCTTTTCAAAGCCCTTCTGAAGTCCTTTTATCTGTAGGAGGGAATCACATGCAAATAAGCCTTTTCTTAACATGAACAAAGTTCTACTAGGTTTTTAATGTTGCCATACAGAATTACCACTTGCCAACCAATAGGCCTGAAAGGTAACATATTTTTAAGAAAGCAAAAATCACTAAACAAAGGCCACCAGCACCATTGTCAGGCCCGTAAAATTTTATAGACCAAGAAAATAATGTGTTCTGCTAGCAGCTATTTTTAACAGACTCTTAAGCTTGCGTGAAGGAGTAAGGAATGGCTCTCAAGTTACCTGTAGCTAGCATGAGTCCACTGCCATTCCAGTCACTATCAAGAACGCTTGTGAGAGTCCGTGACCTGACTGAGCCCTCCCTTTGTGCCCAGGTTGTTCTTTCTCTGTAGGAGAAAAGAATCGGGACTGTTCCCTTCCTGCCCCATTGTTGTAGCCATCATGTGAGTCATTCAAGATGATCATCTCAAGGAGTTATTAAATGGCATATGTCAGCGCAGGGTCAGTGGCTCAGTACAGCCAGGCAATGTGGCAATTACTGTTATCAAAGAGCTATTTTAAGGTGGATGAACAACAAATAAATGTGCAAGTGCTGAAAGTGCTGACTGTGTTCAGAATATTTTCACTTCAAAAGTGGAGGCAGTGGCGGTGGGAATGAGACAGAGTCCTGAGGTGTATGTGGGTGGAGGAAGGACGGATGGAAGCTGAGAAGCTGAGAGGGAAAACAACAAAGAGAGCAGTCTGAGAAGAACAGTGGGGGAAAAATCCAGCCAGGAGTGAGCAGAGTGATGCCCATAGTATACAGGCTGGGCTCAGTGCATGTTGGTTTTATTCCCTTATGCAGTCAGTCAGACAACAAAAGCTCTTCTGGTTTCTGAGTCAATGTCTGAATTTTGTTTAGAACCAAGTCACTTAGTCATAAGATCGAATCCTTCCTGTGGGGAAACTTTTCATTTTTAAGGGCACAATCTGACAGCTTCTACTAAGGTGTGATGTACTTGTCTCACCCATTTTACAGACAAGGCAGAAAGGGGAAAAACAAACTCACAGAGAAATAAAGAAGGAATAGACCTGGATTTTGTACTTCTTTCAAGAATACAAAAATGACTCTTTCCTCACCACCCTTCTTATTGTAGAGAAAAAGTGAAGCTTAAAGTTTCAGAATCAAAAAGCAAAACAATACAAAACAAAAAATTATTGAGCTGTGCATTGATCTAGGTCTAAGTGAAAATTAACCAGCTGCATCCTATTATCCTAATTCTTTGTGAGAGAAAAATAAAAACAAAACACAGGGGGAAAGCAAGATCTCAAAATGTATGGAGGAAAACTGAGCAAAAATGGCCAACGTTAAGACAAAGGAAGGAGAATTCTCCTCTTAGCACAGCAATGATGGTCCTAGGAGAGTGCACTGTCTCCAGTGTCATTTCCCCAGGAGGACCTGGAGCCAGACTGCTGGTACCCCAGTGCTGGGTCAGAGCCTGGCTCAGGCTACTTTGTTTTCTCCTGTCCAAGTTTCTCTGTTGGCTTCTCCTTTGCTCCCCTTTCCATTGGCTTTGCTCCATTTTCCATTGGCTGTTCACTTATTACTTATTTCCTGTGTTCTCTGTCCTCCTGACACCTGTCTTGAGAAGAACATCTCTGCCTCTGTGGTCCTTGTCTCAGCCAGTCTTATCTGTGCCACCAGGGCTACCTGCCAGGCAAGTTCTACCAGAGAGGTCTCAGGGGCATGCATATTTTATTCCCTGGAAAGGACAGTTCTAATCCCTTTCCTGTTTTCAATGAAATGAGCAGACTTCTGGAGGAAACAGAAGGTGTCTCTGGGGTGGGAACAGGCAGTATTCTCAAAGGTTACGGTCGAAGCCTTTTGGCTTCATTGTCATGCCACCCCTTTGCCTGCTACTGTACACGTTATCAATCAGAAGAGGAAATGGAATTCCATGTTTAGTCACGGCCGTCCACCCAACAGGGAGAGTGGCCACTGAAAAGCCTACAGCTTCATTAAAAAACTGAAGCCTAGTGACAATTCAGGATGGGAGATGTGTAATGCCTGAGAAGAGGACCGTGTGTCATCCCAGGAGCTGTGAAGTGCTGCAAAGCGCTGCTGGCCACCCTACACTGACTTTAGATAAAGATGCTTCAGAACTGTCAAGCAGGAACCTGTTTCAGTAAGACTCTCCTCACTGTGGAGCCAAAATCTAATTCACAGCTTGGTTCTGATGTGAAGGCTTCTTCCCCGTTCAGAAAGGCTGTCCAAGTGGCAATGGACATGCCTAGCTCGGGGACAGCGCCCTCTAGGGGATCAGTGGCTACACAACAAGCTGGAAATAGGAAAGTGGCCTCTGGTCTCACAGTAGGGTGCCTTCTTCCACAGTGTGAGCGTTTCAGTGACATAGTCAGTGGACTCAAGTCAGTTCATTGCCCCTAGCTTTTGAGAGAGGAAGGCTCACAGAGGACAATCTACATAATGAAAAGCGTGACAAGCCCCACTAACTAACCAACCTTTTCACTTCCCTGGACGCACGTAGGGTAAGATCTCAAACCAAAATCTGCCTCTCTTTTCTGATTAAGGCGACCCTTTGTTCTGGGGGTGGAAAACACCATTCTGTAATCTCACAGAGATGAACTTCTGACAATGACAAAACAGCTGTCTTCTAGGCCAAAAGCATAGTGTGACCCAGGGACAGAGAGGAGTCCTCTTGTCTAACTCAAGAAAAATGCATTACACAGAATGACATTTGATAGTCACCAAAGCATCTTCTCATTGTTGTCTTCCTTAGCTCCGCTTTCTATCTCTGCCTTAAATATCGTCTTTCTTGAGTTGATGATTGCAGGGCCAGCCATTTGCCCCAACACACACCTCTGTGCCCTTCCCCACATGTACCCACTTGACTTGTGTACTCACAGCCAGGCCTGCTCCAGCCAGTCCTAAATAGGCAACTGAGGTTTTGTCCATATTTCCTGCTAGCCTTCATAATGAAGGTTTGTGTTTGTTTGTTTGGTGTACATTTGTTTGTTTGTTTTGTCTCTCAGTAGTATTTCTCTTTCCTGAAGGATATAATCAGCGTCTAGGCAAGGAATACAAATTGTTTCAGAGAAAGCAAAAAATTGGATTAAGGTCCATTCTATTAAAATTTAGAATTTTTCAAAAATAAAAGGTCTTGTCTCAAATTCTAATGTAGATCCATAGTTATAATTACCTAACAACCTCTTAAGGTAGAGGAAATGGCCCTTCTGATTCCTACTGCTCCTTTCACTTTACTGTCTCTATCTGCCCAGGAATGAAATCCATGTTTCTATAAGTAAGTACGACTCCCTCCTCCCACTCACTATCTATAACATTTCTTTAGTGGTCTCTATAACCAATATGAGCCCTGTGGCATATTGGCCTGTCATAATGGATTATTGACCTGGCACTATGAAGTCACATACTTAGGAACTTTGAATCTCTCCTAGATTGATCCCCTGTGGTACTCTGAGATCACTCTTCTCCAGCCCCTCAGGCTCTCATGATAAGAAAATAATCTCTGACTTCTTTTCCTCTTCACAGCCAAAAAAATTATGTCTTATTGATAGAATGCCTCAAGTGCTTAACAAGAAATTTTATTGCCTAGGTGCTTACAAAACATTGTTCTTTCAAACCCCTCAGGTCACTCTTCTCTTTGAAGCTTGAGTTTTTCATCATCATCATTGTCATCATCATCAACATCACTGTCTTCATTATCACCATCAGCAGCATCAAATAAGTCCATGCTTTCTAGCTTCTATTATGTGAATGACATTGTTCTGAGTGTCACATAGTTGGCACATTGTATTTGTTGTGGTGTGGCTGACAGGCTTGGAAAGCAAGGAAAAAAGGATGCACCTGGCTTCAGGGAACTTAAATATGGGAATAAAAAAGTAAGATATCTTGAAAAGAGTATCACTAGACACAGATAGAGTAATAGAGAAATACATGTCATAGGTCATCCTGTATGAACATATGGTGTCATTGAGTAGAAGAAATATGGTCATGATGACGTCATATGGGGCAATGATGAGAAAATTATTAATTCCAGTGTCTGTGAGAGAAACTAACTACCTCCTTTTTTTGTTTTGTCTCTTTTTTGCCTTAGACTGATTGAAGGAAAGAAGGGAGTCAAAGTGGAAAACAGGCCTTTCCTCTCAAAACTCATCTTTTTCAATGTCTCAGAACATGACTATGGGAACTACACTTGCGTGGCCTCCAACAAGTTGGGCCACACCAATGCCAGCATCATGCTATTTGGTGAGACTGTGCCCTGAGCTGGACACTGAGAGAGTGGGAAGTGGGATGGAAGTGTTGCCAGAAGGGAGAAGCTGGGAAGGAGGGTCTAGAAGGAAGAGTATCAGAAGTGACTTAGGCAGAGGGAGGGAGAGAGAGAGAAGGGAACTCGTGCATATATGAAAGTATGCATTGGGGATGGAAAAAGAATGTTCATTTCAGTCTATAATGACAAAAATCCTAAAACAGGAGACAAGGACAACTTTGAGGTGCCAAAAATGACACTTATCCCCATTGGTGATGTCTCCTAAACTGACTTGGGGATTATAATTGGGTATAATAATAAAGAGCCCAGGAAGAGCACCTAATATTTTAATACAAGCTCACTGGGTTAATATAACATGTTCTCTTTTCTGGAACTTTTCCCAGCCTTTGGGACATGAGAGAATCAGAATTATATCCATAAAAGTAGAATCACAGGCCTTGGTATCCTTAATAAATTTAACTTCAGAAGGAAAAAGATAAGAAAGATAGAAAATGAGTATTTCCCCCATTTGTGTCAGTGGATATGCAGAGACTGGGTAAGACATTTGTCCATCCACACTCTCATCTGGAATGATGCCACATAGTCATGCATGAATTGATTCCTTAAACAGCTATTTATCAAAGGACTAATATGTAAAAGCAAAGCTGTGTGCTTTCATTTCATATCTGACAATACTGGTACCAGAAGCGAGTAAACAAGCTTCCGGCAGATCCCTGCATCCCACCCTTCAGTGAGCAGTGTCTATTCAGAAGTGAGCCTGCATTCCTGTCTGTCATCAAGCAGGACTCCAGGAGTCTGGCGATGGCTTTAATCCTTTGATGGATGCATATCCTCCCTATAGGCTACATGATTAATTTCTGGTTCCCTTTTGAGCAAATTACTCCATACTCCATCAAGTTCAGTGAGTTTGGAATTTCTCAAATCAGTTCCCCCAAAGTCCCATGTTAAGAAGCACTCTCGAATGTGATTGGTGTGGAGGGAGCAAATTTAACAGACAACTGGCATGAACATAAATTCTTGCTGGATGCCCTTGACGACAGTGCATGTTCTATCTTGCCATCTCTACTTCCAAATAACATCCTCCCAGCCTCCTATTCCACACATGAAATAACGCCCAGCTTTATCTGAGAGGTCTGGGAAAGGGAAGGCTGCCCTTGACCCCTGAGTCCACAGCTCAGAATGGGCAGATCTGTGATTAGAGTGATTGATCTGTCTGGCATCTCTCGCACAGGGATAGTTACAAGTGCTCCTCTCATTTGTCAGGACTTTTTGGATTTGGGGCATGTGTCTGTCTGCATGCCCAGAGAACCAGAATTAGAAAGGAACGGGCCAATCCTCCCATGCCTGGTGAATCTTATCCCTCAGCCCCCTCCCATTTCATGCTCTGCAGCTACTTCAGTCCTCAGTTTTGTAAAGAGCCTCCCTCCTTCTTTGATCTCTCTCTTCTGATTTGGAAGCATGAAATGGTTTTGCCATTGACGTTATCACTACAGTCTAATTCCCTGGCATCTTCCCCTTAAGCCATCTCAAGATCAGAGTAGGGAGAAACAGCAGACATTTCAAGAGTGAAATACCTGGCATTTATGACAAGAAAAGCAGTGGAGAATGTGTCACAAATATGCTCTTTTCAGCAGACCCATGTGTGGCAATTACAACTTCTCCTCCCTTCATTCACCCATTGGTCTGAGAGCATTCACCCTGTGCATCTTTGGAATTTTCCTGCTATTGCTAGCTCTCTGGAGTCCAGGCCTCTCTATAAAGTGCATTATAAAGTGATGGTACCTTTGCAAATAAGTTTAGAAGGACTGGGTCAAACAAAGATGAACAGGATATATGGTGGGGATATTCTTACTGCAGGAGATCTCAGAGCTGCAACATTCTAAATCTCTAAGATTCAGGTTTACACATTTTTTGAGTTGCATGCATCAGAAACCAATGCCATTTTTCAGTCTAGGTTGAGAGACCATTCCTGAGGAGCCCAACACAAAAATGCTATATGGGTGTATTCTTCAGGAATTATTGAAACTCCATTAATGTTTAAGATAAACATTTCCAGCCCCTTGGCTGGAGCCAAGTCTAGTCCAGACATTACTGTAGCTCTTAAGCTCATTATTGAGGCTCACTGTCAATGAGGCCTTGTGACAAATACAAATTTATCAGGGAATTTTCCATGTCATTTTCCATTAAGAGCCATCAAGTAGACTTGGGCAGACTGGAAAGCAGCATTTATTTTATGTGAATATACAACATTCATAATGAAGTTCATTCTGTCATAAGGTTAAAGAAAACCAGCTAAATTGTCATCATTTTGTCACCAACTCATAGGTAAACTACATAGTCTTTTCATATGACACTGAAAAGTGAGGAAGCTGGAATAGGAAATTTCCATTGTGATCAATTTCTTTTGGCGGTACTTAAGCCAAACAGGAGCAGGGTGGTTCTTCCCATCACAAACCAAAGGGTCTCTGAGCACCTGATATCTGGGATCACAGAGCTGGCAGTGAACTTGAGATTTCTGTTCTCATATTTCTGAATCATAGTTCTCCAGGGAGACCTTGTTCCAATCATGGTGTCATAGGATCAGACATTCCTGAACTTGGTCTCCCAAGGTGAAACAATGGGGGTAAGGCTGTGGGGGGGGGGAATCTCACCTGGAAAGGGGCTTTGGTCCTCTGTTGTCACATCAGTATCTCAGCTCAGCACAAGCTAAGAGTGAATCCATCTACACTGAAAAACACATTAAGTGGCTTGTGCCCTCCCTTCCCAGCCATCCATCCATGTAGTATAAATAAAGCATTTCACTGTATCCTTTGCTGCACCTTGTCCTACCACCTTTGGTTTTGTGTCTTCCTTTATTTATCCATTCATCTAGAAATGCTTGTGAGAGGCAGTATACAAACTATATATGACAAATATATAGCTACTGTATATAATATATGTGTTTGTTTTCATTTTTCTCTCCTGTATGTCCCTCACCCGATTTAGAACTAAATGAGCCTACAAGCTCAACTTTGTTGCAAGGTCAGTATCCCCCTTGCTTTATGTTTTCTCTGCCCTCCCCTCAATCCCAGGGCCCCCACTCCTCTCCCTTTCCCCTGCTGTGTATTACCCAGCATTCCTAGCTGTAAAGATTCTCAGAAGGTGGTGGTAGAAGGTTGTTTAAGGAGGGTATTAAGATCTGGTCAAGCTCCAACCACAGCTCTCTTCTCTACTAATCTGCTGGCCACACTGTCCCAGGAAGGCTGGGGGATGAGGGAGTGGGGAGAAAGAATTAAAATCTCAAACCTGGAGATCAGCATGAAGGCAAAAAGATTGAGATAGTAAATCTGAGCCCCTAGGAAGACAACTGCAACCAACTGAGCAGTTTCCTGACAAGAGTCCTTCTGATGGTCCCTCAACAACACATCAGACACATTCATGATGAGCTAAATATTCCATCAAATGTCTCAAGCTGCTCACAGGTTCTCCAAGGGAAGAAGATAGGCACGGTGCCACAAGTAATGATCCAGAGGGGCCACTATGGATGTCTCGTGCAGCCACACTTTAGGACTTTTCTGTTCCTGGGTAATTCACTAAACCTTATTTGTACTTAATTTCCTCTTATAAAAATAATAGATCTGTCTTATATGCTTTACAGAGTTGTTCCAACACTCATCTGAAACCACTAAAAGTTTTGAAACCAGTTAAGCATGTTGGATCTTCAGATCCAAGCTGAAAGACAAGGATTTCCCTTCATGCTAGACATTCCCTACATGGAACACTGTAGGGGTCCTTACCTCATTTCTTTCTCATATCCTTCTCCCAGCCCCTTGACAACCTCTTCTACTCTGAGCCCTTACCCACGTGTGACTCCTGAATCTCTTGCCACTGATTGACACTCCTCCAATTTCCTCAAGTTCTATTAGCCTAGGATACATGACACATTGAGAGCATGACAAAACATTTGGACTGAGGGATAGAATAAAATTTGTGCTACATGCTACTGTTCTCCTCTTAAGGACAGTGCTGATCCCAGTGACAGCTTTGTGCGAGGGCTGCTATGAAGTTAATGAGGGGAATGGCTCATCCCATCTCCCAGCCCTATCCTCTGACCTCCTTCTTCCCACCCCACCCCACCCAATCCCCATCCTGTTCATCCATTCACATTGTGGCTGTGCAGACAATCATGGAGGATGGCATTAGACCTGGGAGGTGGAGGAAGAGAGATAAATAAATGAATTACAGGGGGAGCTGTACGACAGATGAGGAAAAATACTGTTGTCATGAAAAGAGTCAAGGCTGCATTATTCACCTTAGTTATGTATAGTAACATGGTGATAAACCATGAAAGGAAAATAAAACAATGATGAAGGAAAAGGAAAGTCAATGGATATATTCAGATTCAACTTATAATTCAGCTTATGTTTTTGAACCCTGGTATGAGGTATGTTCACAGATCTAAAATAGAGACAGTAAAAAGTACTAACACAAATAGCAGAAGGAAGTGAGGGACTGACACTATAACAGATGACTCAATGGATGGGCTTTCAGAAGATATAAACCTAATTCTGACACTTAGAGCTTTGTTCTAAGAGGAAATAGCAGTGTGTTTGTTTGGTGTTTTGAGACAGCGTCTCATTAGGTTGTCCCAGCTGGCCTGAAACTCAAGATTCTCCTGCTTGAGCCTCCAGACTACTGGGATTGCAGTCATGTGCTACCATGCCAAACTTAGATAGCAGTTTCTAAGCAGCTAATATTTAATGAGGTTGTACTCAACTGATGAGGAACATCACTCCACACCAAAGTTGTCAGCAACAAAATCAACCAAAGACAAAAATATAAGAAGATCATTTTCCTTGGTGGATAAGCATGGGACTGGGAGCCAGGGAAGTTATTGTCAAAATCCACCTGCTGAGACAGAGCTGGGCTACCTCACTGTCATTTTGTGAGAAGATCTCTCTGCCAACATTTTTCTCTAATCCTCTGGGTATTCAATCCCTCATCCTAGGAAACTTCTTATAGGGTGTAGGGAATGGGTCAGGGCAGAAGTGATACATTGTAGACATCTGGAATGTTCTGACAATTGACTTCTTGTGGTCTTCAGGATAGCTTCAGAACTCCATTGTACAATCAAGAATACTTTTGTGGAAACCAATCTTGCATCTGGGCACACTGTGTTTGTTTTCCTCTTTCCTTTGCTAGTCTGCAATAGAATCGAGAGGTACCTATTTTCTCAGGCAGCACCTCCAATGTATACTCATCTTATCTGAGAAACACTAGAAAGATTTATGTGAATATGTGGCTCTCCACTGACAGGAAACTCTTGGTTTTAAGAGAAGTTCAAAGCTATTTTGCTACCTAATATCTGGATGGTGTAGAAGGATTTTGATAAGAGAATTTTGTTCTTCCTCAGCATTTTTTGCCACCCTTGAAGTATTTCTCTGCTTCTCTTTTGCAAACACAACAGATTGCATGTCACATACCAGTATTAATATTTGGTAGCATAAGTCTCTCTCAGTGATAAATAAGGACTCAGGGCTATGCCACCATCTCTCACAGAACTTCTGCATGGGCAAGTGTGAGGGGCCCACGCTGCAAGCTCAGCGGCTCCAGAGCTGCTCATTTCCCCTCCACAGGCTCTTGTCTTTTATCTTCTAGGTATTAAATCAGATTTGATGTTATCAGTGGACTAGGAAAGGTTGGCTGATTAATGTGTGTGAACCTCACAGTGACCATCAAACCAATTTACTAAGAATGGGAAACTAAAATAGACTCTAGATAGCAGAAAGAAACAATTGCAACAAAAAAGATAATCAGTTCCTCCCTGCAGAGGATTAAAGATAGTTAATCAGGCAAGCCACCAAGGCATCCAGCAGTTAGAATGTCTATGACATGTGATGTCAAAATAACAAACTGCAAAAATAAATCCCTTACTCTCTTTCCTGAAGATTGAGTATCCCTTTTCACCTAGTTCTCCCGTGCCTATTAGCATTAGACAGTAGTCCTGAATTTATCTGAGTACTTGAACTCAGCTATGAGTAGAAAAGATTCAGCTATGGGAAAAAAAATCCCTTCTGGATTGAGCAGAGATGCTGAATATTGACTGACTGGAGACTTCGAACATGCATAAGGGGTCCTTTTTTCAATTTTTTCTCCTTCTCCTTTCCCTTCCCCTCCCTTTTTCTTTTACTTCCTTTTTTCCTTCATTCCTTTCTTCCTGTTTCCTCTTTCCTTCTTTCCTTCCTTCCTTCCCTTCCTTTTGTCTTTCTCTTGACCATTTTTGTCCTACTCTACCTGGCTTCTTGTTAATGTATCATTAATGAAGAGATAAGTTAAATTTTAGCCAAGGTCCTGCTGAAGAAAATACTTCCTTGGATTTTCAGGGATTATTTCTTTTCTTGACAGCTAAGATGATCAGTTAAAGACTTAAAGACTTGAGTTTATGGCTAGAACTGACTTTAAAGTCTTGCACCAAGTTTTACTTCTGGAAACTTGAACCCATAGCATATCATCATGGCCTAGAGGACTGTGTCAATATTCTTGGTGCCAAAAGAAAGAGAATGAGCTGGAAGGAAGGAACATCATGTCTGCATTTCCCCTTTGTGTGATAAGCAAGGACAAAACAAACACTTTGTTTACCAGGAAGAGTTGACACTTTGTTACCTGGGAAATCCCCAGAATAAATTCTAACTATGGTCAAGGAAGAGTGTCAAATTTTTCTTTACCTCTGTGGATGCAGAAGAGTTGACCTTCTTTTAAGGACAGTGTGTTGGAGATTCTGGGAAAAGCTAGATAAGAACAATTGAGCTGAAGTGTTTAGACATTTGCTGTATAGAAAACCTCTACTGGTACCAAGCTAAAGCAGCATTGTGCCTTCCATTAGTCTATACTTCAAATGGAAACTTTCCTCTGCCCTTCCTACAGCCCTGACTGAAACAGCACCACCACCACTGTGGGTGATCCTCCACCATGCATACCTGACATTTGCACTGCTTTGGCTTGGAGGCAAAAGCTGTATTACTGCTTTATTGCTGCAAGTCTCTCTGACTGTCCTTCCTCCTTCTGTGAACAGGGAGATATTCTTTAGTTTCTGGGTTGGTTTGGAGAGTCCAGCAAACATTTGAACAACTGTCCTTGCTAAGTACACAGACAACATGGTACCATCACAGCTGACTTTTCATTGTCATCCTAGTTTCACATCAGACCTTCCTTCAATTGCAAAACATTTGGCGGTTGATCTCTTACATCTTTATATCTTTAGAATGGCTTCTCAGGGTTGCTAATGTCTACTTACATCAACAGGTACATCATAGAATTAGAGTTTGAGTGCATATAATTCTGAACAAACATTGTAATTGCATTTAGGATGCCCTATATCTAGACCGAGTTTCTGTATGTGAGGACTTAGGCACAGAGAACATAGACTCCCAAAATATCACTTTAATGCAAAGGCTTTTATGACATTTCACACCCTATCTAGATTCAGGTGAGCCACTGCAGAAGCCCCTAGCTCTAAAAAGGGAAGTAAAAGATTAGAGATCATTACAAATTCAGGCCAGACAAGACACCTGCCATCTTCAGAAAAGGTGAGGAGGCTCTGTGGGTTGTTCTAAGAGCTTGGAGCTGGTGAACTGGGTATCTTTCAACAAAGGAGCTGGCATCCTGGCATGTCTACAAGGGATGCCAACAAGTACAAATGAGCAGCACAGGTGTGGGTGTCCCTGCCTCAGATGGCCCAGAGTGAGGAAGTCTTGTGGGTCCAGCATGGGATTGGCTGACTAGCCAATAGAAGTCAAATATCAGAGGGTCTGCTTCCTCTGGCACCTGGGAGCAAACTCACCAGTGTTTCTAAAATGCATGGCTAAATGCAAGTCAAACATTTTGGTTTCAAACCTAGCATGGGCAACCTACATTCAAGCTTCTATAGCAGTCCACTTTAAAGTTAACACCCGCAAATTTTAGTAACTAGAGGTTAGTCTGATGGGTAGTCTGATGACAATAGAAAGTTGATCCAAACAGAGATTTTTGTCTTGGCACCTTAGGCTGCAAACCTGTAGGGAATCTCCTACTAAGACCACCTGGATATTCTGGCTTTGCTTCAGTCTGTGGTCTATTCTTCCCATCATTCACACCCTTCCTTGGCCTGCTGTTCATGTCTAGCTGCCCCAGAATACCAAAGAGGGTCACTATGAGTGCTGGACTATGATCAGGACATCAAGAGGCAGGTGCAAGAGTCATGGGGAAGCTCTTGGGCCAGAAACACCAGCTCAATTTCTAAAACCATGTGAGAGCAAAGGAAGCGCCTCCAACTACTTTCTGCCTTAACAGTGGCTTGTTTTTAATTTCTTTTAGAAGTGAAAACTACAGCCCTGACCCCTTGGCAAGGTTGGTATATTTATTTCTCAGGCAGCTGCTGCCTGGGTGGGTTGGGGTTTGTAAAACTCTTCACCTTCTTTCAAGAGGCCTTCTTTTCTCAGCTCACCCCAGGAAGCAGCCCAGAAAGAGCCCTGCCTGACCTTGAGCATCTTGGTGTTAATTTAGATTAACCCCACCCTCCATGGCATTACATCCTCCTTGGGTAGCTTCCACTCACACAGTCTAACATATCTTTGCTGGAGGCACTAATAAGCACCTGCCAGTGACCAGAATAGCTCCAGCTCTGGGCTTCTCCACGCCAGGCCTGCCTCTTTCCTTGCACACGAATGCTCTAAGGCAATGATCTTCTCAGACCTTCGCCTTGCATGCTGCCCTTTCCTTACCCCCTTCTTTCTTCTCTCTTTAACTGGGAGCTGGAAGGGAAGTGGTGGGAGGGAGGGGACCTGGGAGGAAGGGGGAGGTTCTTGGGTGAGTCATTTGGCCAGGAATAAAATGTGTCTTATTTGAGGCTTTCATTCCTGACAGATGTTTACGATGGGTAATTGACACTCATCACAGTTCTCCAGGACCCTAACTGTCCTTGTAATTAGTCTCTTTAGGCCTCTTCAGCTCTCTAATGAGATAGAGGCAATAAAGGCATCTAATGTGGAGGGGAGGCGTGACTGGATGAAGAGCAGGGGCCTCATCTGGGTGGCCATGTCACTAAGCAGATGGGCCAAGCTGTTACTCGTGCCAGCACTGGCTCTGAGAGGGGCTTTCTCTTATCTTAGGAAACTGTGAGTCACACCTGCTTGGACAAAAAGGCCTTGTCCCACAATGTTCTCCAGTGCAGCACTCGCTGAGGATGGGGCAGGCCAGTGCTTGTCTGGGGTGCCATCTTAACCAGTGGGACCTACCTTGAGTCTCATTCTTTCCCCTCTTCCTTTCCTGAAAACATGAGTTCACAAACAGGCAACTCTGAGCTATGAGGAAGAAAGGTGTGTTTGGATATGAAGACATTAGTCAAGGGGCTGTGGGAAACCCACTTAGTCTGTCTGAAGTTAAATTTCCTCCTATTAGAAAGGGATGTAATCCTTAGCAACTCCCTGAGTAGCACTGGGAGCTGTGATAAATCTTTCCAACTGCAAGCACTTCACTTTCTCCCCTGTCCGCATGGCTTAGCTTCTGTGCAGACATTCATTCGAGACTGGAATTTTCAGTGACTTTTCCTGAATAGAGTTAGCAAAATGGAGTAAGGACATCCAGGAGAGGAAATTGAGGTGAAGCAGGAAAGAAGGTAGGAAAAGAGTTTTTAGTTTGCTTCTCATTTGGTTTGATTTTTTTCCTCCAAGTATAATCTTAAGAGAAAGAAAAGCACAGGACAAGGAAACATGGATGTAGCATCATGACCCAGTGCTCGGTCCTCTGCCAACACTTATTGAATACCTGCCGTGGCCAATGACATAGACCCTGCTCTTAAGCTTGAGAGTGCCCGGGAGAAGACAGCTGACAGACAAAGAAAGAGAATTAGAATGTAGGGTGGTGGTACCAAGAGAGCAATCCTGACCAAATCAAGGATGGGGTGACTGAGGCCAGAATAGAAGCTAGAACAGAGAATGGAAATTAGTTAGTTGCAAGCACAAGCAGTGTGAGGGTGGAAAAGAAAGAGAGCATGGCTAGCGGGTGCTGGCCTGTGTACGTGCACAAATTTATGTGTGTACATGCGTTTACATGCTCTGGACAAGGGGCATAGAAGAAGGCATGGCAGGAGGAGACCCCAAAGGAGCAGATTACACAACGTGTTATGTTCTACCAAGAAGCCGGGCATTTCTGATAAGGCTGTAGGACTCAGATTAGCAGCACAATCAATTTGAAATTATAGAAATCTCACCCTAAAATTACTCTAAGAAAAAATGTGAGGGGTGAGGCAGCGGGTGGCCAGGCGTACCCTGTGAGCTCTGCGAATGGAAAGGTGAGACACTGAAGACTGTCATCTGTAGGATGGCATGAGGGGTCCTGCTCTGTGGGAGGGCATGTGAGGTTCTTTTCTGTGATGGGAGGTTGTGGGGGGTCCTGCTCTGTGCTGGGAAGGTTTGCAGGGTTGTACTCTATGAAAGGGTATGTGGGGTCCTGCTCTGTAGTGAGAGAATATGGGTGTCCTGCTGTGTGGGGAGAGGGTTTCTTGAATCCCTCCCTTTGTTTCCTGCTTCTTTGGTCCAGCTCCGTCCAGGATGTACTGCAGAGACAGACAGAGTGGTGGGAGTGTGTGTGAGGGAGTATGTATAGGTGGAGGAAGTAGTAGGCTGGATATAGCCATGCACAGTGAGTACCAGCCCCAGGAGCCTGTCCAGGCTACAAGCAAGAGGGTGTGTGCACAGGCCCTTGTGGCCTTTCTCTTTTCTGTAGGAAGAGTCTTCTGACACAGAATTAAGACCCATGTCTACAGATTCCCTGTGGTGCTTCCCAGCAGGGAGCAGAGCTTCTAAGGGACTATAGCAATGTGACTGAGCAAAGGGAGAGCTGCCTGGCCATTGTGACATCCCACAGGGGGGCACTTGGCATCATGCATGCACCTCCTGAGCTGCAGAGTCCCAGACTGAAATAAGGTGTTCAGTCTTTACTTACACAGTGACCAAGACAGGGGTCCTGGCTGGGCTGTGCACCTGGCTTGTGGCTCTCCTTTGGGTCAGCCTGAAAGGAGGGAATGTAGGAAAGAAGGCAGGAACATCTGAGTGCTCTCTGGGACTTGACCATTTGTTTTCCATTTTTTATCACTGGGTGTCTTCTTGGCCATGGCAGGGAGCTGGGAAGGAGAGGACAGAGGTGCTGGTTCTGAGTAGGGAGTGGGTTTCAAACCAAGTATGGTAGTGTTCAGAAGAGCAGAGGAGATGAAAGAAAAAAAGAGCCATGTGCCCACATCTCTGGATCTTGCAGGAGCACAAGTGCCAGGTACGCAAGATAGATTTGGACTCATCCACATGAAGGCAAAATGTGTCTCCTGTCTGGGAAAGACCCAGAACTGGGTTCCCACAAAAGTCTGCTGGGCCAAGTGGACTCAGACACAGTCCTTGTCTTAGAAGCCTCAGCCTCAACACAGGCAGGGTCTTGGTAAGGAAGGTCTTGGTGTGGCCCACAGGGAAAGGATTTCCTCAGAGGAGAGAACATGCCCCTCACCACTGAACTTGCCAAGACTGGCTTCTATCCTTTGATTCTAAGGCAAGTTCTGTGGATAACAGGAGTGGGGACACTGATGGTGGTTTGTATAGAAACATAGCAGCTATGTTTAGAAGACATGAACAATTAGTAAACAGTCCCAAGTGGCAAGGAAATGAAATGTAAGACCTCAAGAATTTCACAGGCATACTCCTTTTTCCCATGTCCCCAAGGATGACTTCAGTTTTGTAAAGTCCAGAATTCACACCCCTGCAGGGCAAAGAGCACAACAGTTTTCTCTGGGTTCTCTTGAAATGGCACTCGTGTGGCTTTGAGTATCCTGTGAACTAGACCCTAAACCAGTGTGAGGTTGGACAGCCTGTGACTGTTGATCTTGGGACTACATTTAGCTACCGCACCAAGACCAAAGATTCATGCCAAAGGTTTAAGAAATAAAATCCTCTGCTCAACAAAAGAAATGGTCTCTAAACTAAAGAGAACACCCACAGAGTGGGAGAAAATATTTGCCAGCTACACATCAGACAAAGGACTGATAACCAGAATATATAGGGAACTTAAAAAACTAAATTCTCCCAAAATTAATGAATCAATAAAGAAATGGGCAAGTGAACTAAACAGAACTTTCTCAAAAGAAGAAATTTAATTGGCCAAAAAACACATGAAAAAATGTTCAACATCCCTATCAATAGAGGAAATGCAAATTAAAACCACACTAAGATTCCACCTCGCCCCCTTTAGAATAGCCATCATTAGCAACACCACCAACAACAGGTATTGGCGAGGATGCAGGGAAAATGGACCCCTCTTACACTGTTGGTGGGAAGTAAACTAGTACAACCACTCTGGAAAAAAATTTGCAGGCTTCTAAAAACCTAAACATTGGTCTACCATATGATCCAGGCAATACCACTCTTGGGGATATATCCAAAAGAATGTGACACAGATTACTCCAGAGGCACCTGCACACCCATGTTTATTGCAGCACTATTCACAATAGCCAAGTTATGGAAACAGTCAAGATGTCCCACTACTGATGAATGGATTAAGAAAATGTGGTATTTATACACAATGGAACTTTATGTAGCCACGAAGAAGAATGAAATGTTATCACTGCAGGTAAATGGATGGAACTGGAGAACATCATTCTGAGTGAGGTTAGCCTGGCCCAAAAGACCAAAAATCGTATGTTCTCCCTCATATGTGGACATTAGATCAAGGGCAAACACAACAAGGGGATTGGACTTTGATCACATGATAAAGCAAGAACACACAAGGAAGGTATGAGGATAGGTAAAACACCCAAAAACTAGATAGCATTTGTTGCCCTCAACACAGAGAAACTAAAGCAGATACTTTAAAGCAACTGAGGCCAATAGGAGAAGGGGACCAGGAACTAGAGAAAAGGTTAGATCAAAAAGAATTAACCTAGAAGGTAACACACATGCACAGGAAATCTATGCGAGTCAACTCCCTGTATGGCTATCCTTATCTCAATTAGCAAAAACCCTTGGGCCCTCCTATTATTGCTTATACTCTCTCTTCAACAAAATTAGAGATAAGGGCAAAATAGTTTCTGCCTGGTAGCGAGGGGTTGGGGGGGTAATGGAGGGAGTAAGCAGGTAAGGGAGGTGGCGGGGGGGTGGGGGGGAAGGGGGAAGAAATGACCCAAACATTGTATGTGCATATGAATATAATAAAAAAAAGGAATAAAAAAAAAGAAAGAAAATCCTATGAGCAGTAACCCAGTCAGAAGTTCTAGGATTTGACAGAGTGATACCATGTGAAATAAAGAAATGCAGTTTGATTCTGATTTGATTTAACCAGAAGTAACTCAGGCACTGAGCCTCCAAGTTAGGCAGACAGGCTCTGTGGTTCTGTTCATCGTGCCTCTCCCTGTGAGGGACTTGGAAGGAGTGTGACCACCAACTTGAAAAATCGCCATTAAATTCCACGCAACAAGGACACCAGAATAGGTCCAATCAAGTAGTTATTCCAGTTCATTAGGTCCTTAATCCAAAGTTAGATAGTGTTCCATTTATCATGAGGGTTCTTGGCCACAAGGGCCAAGTAGCCCTTGTTCTTTTTTGAGAACCATAAAGAAGGTTCTGGGGAGTTTTTCTGACCTTGCAGTTTTCCTGTGTCTTGTGTTTGGCTCCATCTCAAAGAGTATTTGATTGCAGGCCATATGTGCCCCTTAGAGAAATGTCTTGTTCATGTCCCCTACCCCACAGGCATATCCTGAGGCAGCCTCTAAACCCCAGTGTCCACGTAAGTCCCTCATTATATCCATGTCACATAGCAGAGGGCTTCCTGTTTCCTTGCTTGGTCCTACCTCACCCTATGTGGACTGCTTTGGGCCTTTTAAGCATGTGATACATGAACCAAGTTTGCTGTTGCCTTGTCCGGATGGGGAAAGAGGTCAAGTGCTCCAGGTGGAACCCAGCGCCTGCTGTAAGACAGGGTGATTGACAGAATGGCCTCTGTGCTTGCAGTGCAGCAGCAGGAGGCAGACAGATTGTATTGGCCAACAGGTCCTTTCCTTAACAGCAGGTTGAACACCTGGAGGGTTCTGTGAGTGTCTAAGGCAGGCAGAGCTCAGAGGGGCTGAGTGATGAGGCAAACAACTTTATTGAAGCTCTACATAGGGTATTTCTTCATCTGTACTTTCTTTTTGACCTTGAACCTAGGCCATGACCTTAGCATGTTATGCCTCAGCAAAGAAGTAACGGCCACCCGGACATACTTGGTCTCTCCTTGCAAGAGAGGTCTTCCCTTGCACAATGTGTGTCCATGGGATTGGAGCTGGAGAAAATTCTGGAGCTGTAAACACCATACACTCCACTTAGAGGGACATCTTAGCAAAGGCAATGCCTGATGCCAATAGTCCAGGCCACTTGTGGGGAGGGCGGGTTCTATTTCATAGCAGGCAGCTCATGACACATGTGTTCTCTCCCCACAGGCCCAGGAGCTGTCAGTGAGGTGAACAATGGGACGTCGAGGAGGGCAGGCTGCATTTGGCTCCTCCCTCTTCTGGTCTTACACCTGCTTCTCAAATTTTGATGTGAGCACCCCTTCCCCACTGGGGAGAGCTGCCGCTACCGCATCTCCAACACTGCAGCACGGCCACACGACAGCAACAAGTCAGAATCAAATGAAATTCAGAGAATCACAGCTAATGGGACAGAAATTTGAGGGAGGGAAACAAAGAATACTTTGGGAAAGAAAAAAGTTTAAAAAAAGAAATTGAAAATTGCCTTGCAGATATTTAGGTACCACTGAGTTTTCTTTCTTTTCCCAAATGGGAAGAATGCACACCCAGCTTGGACCCACCCACAAGCTGCACTGTGTGACCTCTCAGTTGCCAGGGTGGGCAAGGGCTCAGCCACTCTGCCCACCAAGTGCCCCCGTGGAACACTCTGGAGTCGGCCATCACAAATTCCATCTGTCCGTAGAGATGAGCACAGAGTGGGACATGTGGGCCCAAATGCGTTTGTAGCTGGCCCTTTGGTAGACTGTGTCACCACGCCGAGTGTCATGAAATGTGAAATGAAAAAAGAAAGAAAATGAAAGCAAGACAGCCTGACAGCAACAACAATCCAACAAACAAGAGTCACAAAAGATGTTTCACTTTTTTTTTCATTTTACTACATGGACATCATGGATAATAAGGGATTCTGATTCATTATTAATTTTATTAATTATATTTTCTGATATGAGTCTAGAACTTAGTGCAAAAAAAAAAAAAGACAAAACTAAAAAATACACACATGAGAGGGGTGAAAATAAGTGTGTTTGTTAAACATTAAGAATGAATAGTGTACTTCTTACCTAGGTTTACAACTGGTGGACCACACACCAGGCATTAACCACCTGGTGAGGATTTGACAGATCCACCAAAAACACATCCAATTTAACCAACACTTCCACCAGCGCGTCAGAGTCCTCCTTATCCTGGCATTCCATGCAGACAGTACTATGCTGTCTACATACTGTTTAGAAATGGAAAGTTGGTCTGCACTGTATCTTGGGTTCTTGGCTATGCTTCTTTTAATGACATATATTATACAGTATATATATGCATATATTTTTTTTGTTAGAGTTCTAGCCATTTTGTTTCTCAGCAGGGTCCTTTCTCAGACATTACTGCATGCTGTATATGGTGTTAGCTGTGTGTTGATCTTCTAAAAGATGATAGAGTTTACTGGTTATTGTGTAATCAGCTCCTGCCTTTTTATTTTCTTGGGTTATATACATGTCAGAGACTTATAAAAAGTGAAAAGAACAACAGCTAATACCAGGCGCAGAATCTTTCCAGGTGTGGCTCTCTGAGGCAGAAGCCTATGGCTTTCCTCTCCATCACCCCTGGGGCATTAACAGACAGCAACTGAAACAACTAAACCGCCAGTAACCGCTTGTTTTAGCCCATTATGGGAATCCCTGATGCCTTTGTGACCACTGGAGAATTTAATCCTCTTGGTTTATTTTATTTAATTTTCCACCTTTGTGTGAGTGTGTATGAAAGAGAAAAAAAATGCAGATTTTAGGTAACCTTTTTTGTCCTCCCCTGATGTTTGGGGAACAGAGAGGCCTCGGGGAGGGGTCCTGGATGTGATGAGGGAAACTGGGATTGGGGGAGGGGAGGGAGGGGTTGTCTCTGACTTGACATTAAAAAGTGTTCCATGTCCCTCTTCACCTGCTGTGCTACTCATTCTGCAGTGGAGGGTGGTGGGGTTGAAAAATAGGAGGAGGAAGGAATCTGGGACCTCTCCTGGGTGGGTGAGCTTACTGTGGACAGTGCTATGATGACAGACAGGAGGGTCATGAGGCTTCTGACCTCCTTAAAGCAGCAAAGGGACTGCAACTTCAATGCCTTCAGGAGCTCCTGATCAAGACTGCAAGCACCTGCCAATCTTCAAACGTCTTTTCTCCTCATGGGGTAAAAGTTCAAGTCCATGGCTTCTGATGATTCCTAAGAGGAAGGAGAATATAATCCTGCCTCTCTCTCTCTCTCTGTGTCTCTCTCTGACTCTCTGTCTCTCTGACTCTCTCCTTCTCTATTTCTCTGTCTCTCTCTCTCTGTCTCTCTCTGTGTCTCTTTCTGACTCTCTGTCTCTCTGACTCTGTCTCTCTCTTTCTCTATTCTCTCTTTGTCTCTCTCTCTCTCTCTCTCTCTCTCTCTCTCTCTCACTCACACACACACACATACACACACACACACACACCTGAAAACTTCATGGTGATTGGAATTAAATAATCCCAAATCCCATCAACTAGTCTATCTTTGTCCATGTCTGTCTCCTGTCCCCCAAAGCTCACCTCTAGCCAGAAAGAGGAATGTAGATATTAATACAGCACAATATTCAAGTAATTCTAACTTTCTCTAATTGATTAAGTAGCAAAATACTCACTGTGACAGAAATTGGGTCAGTGACATTCAGGAATTACTGCATTTGTGAGTTCAGGGGTCAATTCTGCCTGAGAGAACTCAGAATGTTCAGAAAAGACTGTTATCATTTCCAGCTGCTTTAGCAAAACTGAGACATTCTTTGTGCAATTCTTCCATCCCACTGCACTCCCACCCCTGCTGCCAGATATCCCAGCTTCTTCCTGGAGGAATGGTGTGGCTGAGCCCCACATATTTGGACTGCTTTAATGTCATCTTTCCTTATGTGCCAGAACCACTGAGGGTAAGGGACTTTGGGTCTATTTACAATTAAAACTTGGGGTGAGGTTTACTCTCCTTCCCATGCCTGGCACTTCTGCAGACACTGGTTGGAAGATTCATGTGCAGATCATGATTTATTACAGTAGGACAAATACAGGTGACATCTATGATCCAAACTGTCATCCAGAAACCTCCTGGTGTGCACCTGCAAAGATGTGCTTAATAGGCTTCCCTAAAATAAGAGGGCACAGTCCACACAACCTCCACTTGAAGAGGAGCTCCTGCTTTCAAATACATGCTACTAGATATCTTCTAGCATCAACTAGACTGCAAGCATCTACTAGCAGAGGTAACCTCTACTATTGCTAACCATGCTTCAAGTCACCCCATGACCACTCTCCCAGGAGGGTTTCACTCAGGGCCACATTGTAAATGACACTGATGAGTAAGACTTGATTCCATCCATGTATCAATTCCATAGTCCTCTTGCCTCATGGCTCTTCAGTGGTCTGGTTATACAAGAGCATGTTCTTTGTAGATCAACTTCTACTCATCATGACTGATAAGTTCTCAGAGACTCCCCAATCCTGTCTCAGGATGGTTTCCTCTCAGCTTTTGCCTACCATGCCTCAGGATCCCCAAAATGCTGAAGGAACACATGGGAACCTATGGCAAAGGTCAAATCCCACCTGGGCCTTCAATCTAATTTAAAGTTCAATCCAAGAGTACAGGGTTTTATAGGAGCTTAAGGTGCAATTCTTGGTCTGTGTTTGCTGGAAACAAAAGTTTGGCAAAAGAGTGCTCATTAGAATTGAGTAAAGAAAAAAAAAATCAACCAGAATAGAACCTGTGGGGACTTTCTTGTTGGTACAAGCACAAATGGGAGACTATTGCTATGAGCTGGCCTGAATTTCAAGTATACTGGACTCCTTGTTACTCAGAGATATGTCACTACCATACTTTAGGATTACTCCACTCCCCTTAACATTAGGATGTCCTTGAAGGGAGCCACAATTAGGATAACAGATTTTCAACCCATGATAATCTCTTGTGTGCAGAGGGATGGTGGGGAGACACAGTCCCTAGTCACTCATGCCAAACAATCCTGTAGACTCCCATTTATCTTCCGTGGAATAGCTACTCGTTTCCAGCCATGCAGCCGTGCAGTGGCTCTCCAGCCCCTATACACGAATCTCTCCCTACTGATGCAAGACATAATTGCCCTGCATGTCGACCTCAACACTTCAAGTGCCTGACCCAGGTCTGCCTTCTTATCTGCTAAACATACCAAGCTTGACTTTATTCATAGCCAGAGGTTCACTCATGTTTATGTCTTTTTCTCTGGATGTTGATGATGACAGATATGATTAATGTCAGCTGACAAGCTATTCAAGCTGGTTATAAGTTAGCAAACAAATTAACATTACAAGCTGATTGAGGTTTAGCTCATTGTGCTACCCTGACCCATGCTTATCTTATATCTCCTGAACCATGAAGTTAGAAGGGAAAGCAGTAGCATTTATCAATCAGAAGATTCTACTGAATGCACTGGTTTGATTAAAAATGTAAAATGTGGGTTCAGCAAAGCATCAGTGATTTCCCAGTATTACAATGGAAAAATGTAAGGTGTTTGTCACCAAAGGAGAAAATATATGCAAAAGGAGGGATATGGAAAACTAAAGGCCTCTGCTCACACAAAACAAAGTGTCACTATGCTACAACTGGCCAATGGTATCCCCACAAGCCAGTCATTTATCCTTCATCAGATCAGCAGCATAAAGTGAATTAGGTTAGTGGTATCTGACAGAGAAAAGAAGGACTATCTATTTTTCTATACTTTTAAGATTTTTTTTAAAGATTTTTTTAAACCCAAATCCCAGAGCAAATTTGACTCAGACCTTGTTCATTGCTAGTATTTCTTTTGTTCTCACCTAACTGCTCAGTGAAGCCATTCTATAGCATCAGTTCTTACCTCTCTACTCTTAATTCAAACACTATGTCCATAAGGATCCAACTCTATTCACCCCTAAAGCAACAAATGCAATTTCATATCCTCATGATTTATGAATAACACCTGATTCTTAACATCTCTGTTTCCCACAACTCTATGAGTCTCCCTTCAGATCTATATCAAATGATCAGACTCACATGGCCATTTGTAGAAAAGACTCCCAAATTCCTGAGCACAAGTTAAGCTCAGTTCTTATCATGTATGTCTGATACATTTTGGTGCATTACCCTTTCTGAAGATGACCTGGTTTGGCTTTAGTTTTGAATGTTGATTTTGTGCCCAGGCAAGCCTACAAATAATATGAATAACTTCTTCTGGCAGTGGTGAATGCATGTGAGTTTATTTCTACATTTTGGAGGTTGTTAATATTTTTAAATGAATTTTTCTTCTGCCCATACATCTATCATCTATTTGATTAAAACTTCCCAGAGTAGCCATAGCACTTATGTTGTTTCCTGTGAATCTTTGATTTTGGACTTTCTGAGTATTTGTGCTATGTTTTGGATGCAGAACTGTGTTGTTTACCAGTAAAATTGGACTCTAATCCAGACCTATAGCTAGCTGGCTGGATTCCCATCTTTATTTTTTATATAAAATGTTATGATTGGAAATTGCTGAGGTTCTACGTACCTTCCAAATTCAGTATTCAAAAACTGGGCAGGATGATTCATGCCCATATTCCAAGCACTCCATTCTGGAGTCTGAAGCAGGAGGATGGCAAGCTATAGTCCACATAGCAAGACCTTGTGTCAAAAGGAGTGAAAATGAATATTCAAGGGATTTCAGGTTTTACAAGATTTCTGTAAGGAAAAAAAATAGGAAAACAGCCTTTTGATCCATGCAATTGGAAGGTGTGACTCTGGCAAATTCTACAACCAATGAAGTGTCCTTACTTCCAGGACGGCTCCTGAGAAGGGAAGATGCATAACCATGTCAGCCATTTCTATAACCACTTGAAGTGGCTCCTTAAGGAGACATTGATAGACTCTGCAGTACTTAGAAAGGAACATTGTTTAATAAGAACAGTGAATTTTCTGGAGCGGGAAATAATGTTAGCCCCAAGCTACCCTCTAAATGCCATAAATAAGACAAGAGAGAATAAACTGCAGTGCATTATGAAGTTGGGGGAAGTAAAAGAACAGGAAAATCCTCAGCGCTTCCACTGGGAGTGTGCACGTGTGCACATGTGCAAGTGTATGTGTGTGCGTGTGTTGCTTAATTACTTAATTGCTTAATTCTGTTTTTTGTTGTTGTTATTGTTTGCTTAGGACAGGGTCTCACTGTGTAGCCCAGGTGGCCTTAAACACAGAATCCTCCTGCTTCAGCCTTTCAAATGCTGGGATTACAGGTGTGCACTGCCACACAAGGTTTTAATTGCTTATTTCTTCAAACAAATCACACCTGTTATCCCCACGCCTCTTTATTTAGAATAACAGTAAATAGGAATGAAAGAGAGGTCTCCAGATAAGGTTTCCAATGATGCTTTCTCATCACTTGCACATGTCTTGGGCTCAAGGGCCCAGGAATATCTGTGCAGATTGCACTTGACATGTTTGTGCACTGTAGGCTGGATTCTAAATTTACTGCATTCTTTTCACTGTCCTATTCTGCCCCCTAGACTCAGAGCTGCACTCATAACTCCTCAGTGAAGAGCCTGAGATGTGAGAGGTAGTGGAAGATGTTTGAGCCCAGGTACCTCCTTCCAGGTGTGGGCATCCAGCCACTCTTTAAGCTTCAGTTTATTCTGATACTTCTCCTTCAGAGTTGGTAGAAGGACCAGAGTAGCTACCAACTACTCTGTGCAAACCATACAAAATGATAGGAATGAATGACAGGGATGAGTAGCACAGACCAGGAAGCATACACATGTGTGAGGGGTCCTTGTCTTCTCTTGAAAGGACAAGGAACAAAGAGAAGAAAAAAGGAAAGTTGGGAAGTTAGACACAGAGTGATGGTCACTGTCTATTGAATGCAGGAGTGTTATAACAAGAAAGAGAAATGAAAATAAAGTTATAC